GCAGACGTCTCTACTTTTTTGAGGATGGATGGATGGATGGATGGATGGATGGATGGATGGATGGATGGATGGATGGATGGATGGATGGATGGATGGATGGATGGATGGATGGATGGATGGATGGATGGATGGATGGAATGGATGGATGGATGGATGGATGGATGGAATGGATGGATGGATGGATGGATGGATGGATGGATGGATGGAATGGATGGATGGATGGATGGATGGATGGATGGATGATGGATGGAATAGATGGATGGATGGATGGATGGATGGATGGATGGATGGATGGATGGATGGATGGATGGATGGATGGATGGATGGATGGATGGATGGATGGATGGATGGATGGATGGATGGATGGATGGATGGATGGATGGATGGGTGGTTGCTACCACTCAGCGTTGCTAGCGCGTTGCCACTCCGCGGCAGATTGTGAGTGCAGACGGAGTTCGCTCGCGCAAGTACAGAGATAAAGCAGACGAATGGTCTCACTGTATGGCCGCGCAACATTTCGGCAACGCTCACGTCACCTACACGTCAACGAACGAGCAACCGTGTTGTCAAAGTTGCGCTAATATTGAAAGAGTGCCGGCGATCACGCATACACGCACGCACGATGAGGCAACGCTTCCCTAATGTACAAATATCTGTCATGCACGCACGCACGCACGCACGCATACACGCACGCACGATGAGGCAACGCTTCCCTAATGTACAAATATCTGTCACCTTTCCTTATACACACAAAGCACAATACACCCATGCACACGCACACTGTGACCTTGCAAAGGTCATGGCTTTCTGACACACGCAAAGCACGCGCGCACGCATGCACGCACGCACAGAGTATAACTAGCAGAACCATAGCTCCGAACAGACACAAGCCCTAAGCGCCATTCTCCTATGTCAGCCATATTGGATTAGAGGAAGTCGTGCGCATAGTCAGGCAAATGCGCGCATAAAATAAATACACGATTATATTCAGCATGTTTAACCATTTGTACATTTCGGTTCGAAGCTATAGTATTCAGTTCGTGTGTTTGTGTGCGTGCGCGCCTGCCTGTGTGCATGTGTGCGTCTCTCCCATTCTGCCTCTTCTTCTTCTCTCATCTTTTCTCTTTCTCATACCTGCACGCGCTCTCTCTCCTTTTCTATTTTATCCTTCCTCTCTTCCTTTCTCTTATTCTTCCCCCCTCTCTCTTATCCTCTACCCTCTTCTTCTCTTGCCTTCCCTCTCCTTTCCACTCCCTTTTCCCTATCTATCCCTCCTTCCCTCCCTCCCTCTCTCTCTCTCTCTCTCTCTCTCCATCCGTCTGTTTCTGCGTCGCAGCAAGCAGCGCCAACGAGCCACGTCTGCCAGCTAACACACGGCTATCGCTCATTACCTACGGGCAGCATCATCTGCGTAATCAAAATTTTAAATATAAATGAGGCTATCGAGTCCCGTGCGCATAATAAAACGTAATCAGTTACGGTGGAGTTACGTCATCGGCGAATGGCGCCACCTGACGACACACCTTCTCTTGCTTCTCGCGCGTTGTTGGTACCAAGGCGATGCGACACATCTCTTCCCATTCTTCTTGTTGTTCTTGAATTACGTGAGGCCTTCCGCCATTGGTGGTAAAAACGAGTTTGCGAAAAGACGAAGAGAAAATAAATGAGGAAAAGAAAGGCAGTGTCTTTTACGATAAGAGCAGGTAAAAAAAATGAGTTGAAACCTGTACCACCTATAAAAACGCGAGTAGCGGGAGATCGAGATCCCGGGGGTACGATGAAGATAGGTAGAGAGGGGGTAAAATATATGTAAGGGTGAGGAGAGGGGATTAACATAGTTGTAATAATGAAGACGAAAGGGGGTAACATAGATAGATAGAAGAATGAGGATAGATAGAGAGGTTGTCACATTGATGTAAGGATAGGATGAGGACGGAAAGAGAACGTATAGAGATGCAAGCATGAGTAGCCAATCACATTCACACAATCGTATTTGCACGCGCCCACGAATGCATGCACGCGCGCAAACACACACGCGCGCGCGCACGCACACACGCACGCACGCATGCACACACACACACACACATACACACACACACACACACACACACACACACATACACACACACACACACACACACACACACACGCGCACCCTCACTCAACTCCCACCCCCACACACC